TAGCAGTGCCGAGTCCGAGACCGTCAGCATGAGCTCGGCGGTGCGGCGTTGCGCTCTGCCGGTGCAGACGCTGATCTCGGACATGCTATGCGTCCTCGTTCCTGTCGATTGCCGTGCCGATAACACGCAAGCGATACAGGCCATCAAGAAAGGATATTCTAAGCGTCTGCGGTGTCTTTCACGAACCCATAGATGCTCTATTGGGGCCATGCACGAGATCTACAACGATCCAGAGGCCGCTCTCGACGTGGAGTACCACGCGACAGCCACGCACAAGGGCGACTTCTTCACCAAGTCCCTCAACCCCGCGCCCTTTGCCGAGGCGAGGGTGCGCATCGGCCTGAGGCGCGCCGCCGAGCGCTGAGGGCCAGCAACCCACGATGAGATGTTCGTCTTCTCGCACTTGCGGCCTGCGGCCTGAGCTCGGGCCGAGGAGGTTCTGAGCGACAGGGCCAAGGGGGGTGTGAAATGATGCCACAGATACTGCAGCAATTTCTGTCTGGCACCTGAGGCGTTCATCACCTCACCAAGCGGTGAAATGATTACCAATGCATTTTTTCAATAGGCCTTGTATGTACATACCAAATGTGATAAGTAATTAGTTTCCTCCTCAATTCGTGGTACGAGACGACACGACGCGACCATTTTTTGGGACAAACTGCGCCCGGCGACCATTTTCCCAAAAAGTGGTCGCCCCGCCGCTGCGCGACGTGATAACAGGTCCGATGGCGCAGCAGTCCTGAATCTCGGAAACGGGGGTGTGGCTGGATTCTGGCCGCCTCCCGGTTCTGGTCCCGAGGACGTGCGATGCGGCGAGTGTGGCTGGACTCCGGCTGCCTCGTCGTCTCATGCATCCCCCCATGATGTTGTGCAGCAGCATGTGCACTGTCATGCGGAGAGGGGTGAGGTCAAAGCGCCGCACCCACGTTGGCTCAAGACGCCCGGAGTTCAGGGACCTCCGAGCTGAGAGAACGATCTGGCCTGGGCCGAGCTGAATCATCATCCGTTGCTGCCTGGCGCCCCGGCCAATCACAATCGGCGGCATCCAGTGGGACCCCCCCGGGGAGACACCTGGCGAGACGATAAAGCGGCTTCAGGTCACACTGGGAGCGAGGTTCACAGGCGCCTGGCACGCGTTCGCCCAGCAGCACGCCTTGCCTGGCAGCAAAGGCGCGCTCGACCCGCGACGGCACGACCAGCAAACGTGCGTCAATTTCCTGTCCTCCTTCCGCAGCCATAACTGCGACGTGCGGGCCATGGGCGACGTGCTGGACCTCGGCGTTGACTGGGCACAGTTGCGGCTTCGGTACCTGGGTGGAAGTGGCGGCGCGGGCAGGGGGCGCCAGGCGGCGAAGGACCACGCTGATCGCCGCGCACCCAGGAAGGAACAGAAACAGTGGAAGGTCGCCACCTAAAGCCGCGGGCGCGCCCGCCCTTGTTTCACCCTAATTCACTCTGGCTTCTCCTGGGCGTGGCCGTGACCCGGCCTTCCAGCGGGCAGCCTTTTGCAGCTTAGGTTCTGTGCGGTCGCGACAGGGTCGGGTGTGGTCTATCCTACTTGGCTCCTGGCGTTGCCAACAGGTCCACAGGTGTCACAGGTGGCAGACTTCGGATGACTGTTGTCGTGCGTCGCATCCGCTGGCGCCGCCTTCATTGTCCCGGTGTCACTCGCCATTGGCTGCGCACGAGCACCCGGGTACATACTTGGCATTGGGTGTGGTCCATCCTGCTCGGTTGCATTGCTGTGTATTCACAGGTCTTGCTATGCTATGCATGGACCACGGTGCACATGATTGCTCCTGGGACGCAGGTTTACCTACCTTTGAGCGGTCATTACTTGATCTGTCGGTGTGCGACGCTTCGGCTGGCGCCTGTTTAGATTTCGCGCCATTTTGGCAGCGCGTGTCAGGTTTGGCTAATTTGGTGCTCCCCGGGTTTCCCTGGGTTTCCTTGCAGCTCTGCCCTGGGTTCAGCTCTCCCTGGGATCAGCCTCGCCCTCGCCGCAGTTGCTGCTTGCTGCATCCGGCGCCGCCGCGGCCGCCTAGTCGCGCGCGTTAGCCGTCGGTAATTAGTTTCGGCCGCAGCCCGACCGTTACTCGCCGCCGCTGGCGCTTCCGCCCGCGTTTTTTTTTTTTTTTTTTTTTTTTTTTTTTTTTTTTTTTTTTTTTTTTTTTTTTTTTTTTGTTGTTGCTTCTTTCTCATTATTATTAGTATTATTTTATATTATTAATCGCTTCGCTCATTCCGCCGGCCCATATTGTCGCACCGTTGTGGGCTAGCCGAGTTTGGGGGCCTCTTGGGGGCCGTTTTGGGGCCTCTTGGGGCCTCTTTTGGGCCTCTTGGGCGCCTCTTGGGGCGTCTTGGGGGCCTCTTGGGGGCCTCTTGGGGCCTTTTTGGGGCCTCCTGGGCGCCTTCTGGGGCGGAGGGCTCGATTTTTCAGTTCTCGGTTCCCCTCTTGAGCTCCTCTTGGGCCCGTCTTGGGGCCTCTTGGTCCGTCTTGGGCGGCACTTGGGCCGTCTTGGGGGCCCTCCTGGGCCGTTCCGGGGCCGTCTTGGGAGCCTCGTGGGCCGCGTTGGAGCGGTCTTGGGGGCCTCTTGGGCCGTCTTGGAGCGTCCGGAAGCCGAAAAAGCCAGAACGCAAAAAACATAGAAAAGAACAATGAACATCAACGATTTTGGCCTCTTGGGGCCCTCTTCGGAGGCCACTTGGAAGGCCCTTGGGGCGTCTTGGAGGCCTCTTGGGCTGTCTTGGGGCCCTGTTGGGCGCCTTCGGGCGATTTTTGGCCGTCTCGGGGCTCTCTTGGACCGTCTTGGAGGCTTCTTGGGGACCTCTTGGCCCGTCCTGGGGCCCTGTAACAGGGCTCCGGCATCTCTGGCCCGACCTTGCCGGGACCTTGCCGGGACCTTGCCGGGGTACTTTTCGTCCGGGGACCCCCAGGGGCCGCCCCGCGCGCGCGAACTAGAAATACTGTTAACCAGGTGCCGGAGATCTTAGCACGCCCTGGCCTGTTGGGCCGGCGAATTTAGTTTAAATTAAAAATAGTATCCCCAGCACTTGATCCAGAAACGATGCCCATGATAGCTGTTTGGACACTGACGTTGAACGGGGGGATGAGGATGAGGATGATAATGAGGAGGGGCGGGATGAGGACGAGGGCAACTACGATGATGCTGCTGCTGATGGTGATGATGCTAAGGTGATGATGCTGCTGCTGATGATGCTGCTGTGATATGGTGATGATGATGTTGATGCTCAGGATGATTATGCTGACAATGACTATGATTATGATCATGATTATGATAATGGTGGTGTTCATGCTGTTGATGATGATGTTGATGATGACGACGATGGTGATGGTGGTGATGATGATGGTGATGATGATGATGATGATGATGATGATGATGATGATGATGATGATGATGATGATGATGATGATGATGATGATACTGGTGGTGGTGGTGGTGATAATGATCATGCTGCTGCTACTGATGATGATTACGGTTGTGACGACGACGATCATGCTGCTGCTGATGATGATGAGGATGATCATTCTGATGGTGGTGGTGGTGGTAGTGGCGATGGTGGTGATGATGCTGCTGCTGCTGAGGATGAGGAGGAGGAAGAGGAGGAGGAGGAGGAGGAGGAGGAGGAGGAGGAGGAGGAGAAGGAGGGATGATGATGAGGAGGACGAGCAGGATGAGGATGACGAAGGGGAGATAAGGGGAGAGGAGGGGAAGGATGAGGATGAGGCCTTCGCGGATCTTTTTGTCGTGAGATCCACTAGGACGACTCCTGGGGCTATCTTTGGATGTTCTCGGGGCCTTCTTGGGGCCGTCTTGGGGCCATCTTGGCTCTTGGGGCTGTGGGGAGGGGTCGTGGGGCCCTTTTGGGGCTCTTTCTGGGGGCCTTTGGTCCGTCTTGGGGCGGTCTTGGGCCCCATGGCTCAACACGAGGGGCCCCAATTCGACCCCGTCCCTTCGGAAGCCGAAGCATAGCCTCTTGCGGGCCTCTTGGGGCGCTCGGGACCTCTTCGGGGTCTTCTGGGCCGTCTCGGGGCCCTCTCGGGCTCCTCTTAGGGGCTCTTAGGGATCTTCAGGGGCCATCGCCCATCGGAGGCGAAAGGGCGAGACGGCAAACATAGATCGGCTTTCCGCGGGCTTTGAACCGCTTTTGGCTTCTCGGGGGGCTGCCTCGGGAGCTCCGAGCGCATTCGGAGCCTCGTCGGGCGCGGACCCCGCTCTCCGCGGTTCGATGCCCCCTGTCGAGGGTCGAGGCTCCGGGGCGGTTCTGTCACCTCCTGGGCCTCCAGGGGCCTGGCCCTGGGGCCGAGAGCTCCTTTCGAGTCGAAGCAGGGCCAGATAAGCCATCGCGATCCGTCGAGGGTCGAGGCTCTTGGGCGGTTTAGTCACCTCCTGGGCCTCCAGAGGCCTGGCCCCAGGGCCGAGAGCTCCTCCCCATTCCAAGCAGGGCCAGATCCCAGATCCCCTCGAGGCATGAAAAATGACGACGGAAGGTTTCTCGTCGTTGTCGGCCTCCAGAGGCCCTTACCAGACCTTGGGGCCGTCAAGCAACGCATTAGGAGGAAAAGCTGGTCCCGGGAGTGGGTCGAGGCCTCTGGACGTCGACGCCATCGCGATCCTTCGCTTCGCAGCGCGCCAGAGGTCTGCGCCCTCGTCCCTGTCTTCGGGCCGCAGCTCGGGTCTCCGGGGGGCCGTGTGGGTCGACTCCGGCGGGCCTGGAGGGCTCCCGATGAGGCGAAGCTGCGGGAGACGGCCGGAGGGCACCCCTGGACCCGTCTGGGCTCCTTGGCTGTCCCCGGGCGGAGGAAGACGCCCTGGGCATGGCCGAGGCTTACCCCCCGTGCCCGGGGCCGCCCAGCGGCGCCGATTGGCCTGGCGGGCGGCCACCGCGGCCGCGGCCAGAGGCGCCGGTCGATCGTCGTCGTCGTCGTCGTCGTCGTCGTCGTCGTCGTCGTCGTCGTCGTCGTCTTCTCAGCCGAGGCGTCGGCGCCCTCGGGGCAGCCAGCCCAGCGGGCCGCACAGCCGCGGCCTGTCGCGGGGGCCCGCAGCGCGGCACCCGCGGCGCCCAGAGGCCCTCTGCGTCCCTCCCGCCCCCCTCAGACCTCAAGCCATTTTTTGTTTTGTTTGTTTGGTTGTGTTTGTGTGTATGTTTGCTGTTTGGTTGTTTGTTTGTTTGTTTGCTTGCTTGATTGATTGCTTGCTTGCTTGTTTGTGTGTTTGTGTCGTGTGTATGGCGCTTGTCTCATCCCACCGTGTGCCCTGGTCGGGCTGCCTGCCGGCCGCTCCCCCCCTCTACTGGAACGCCGTGGCACCGCCGCGCTGCGCCCTTCTTGCTTTTCACACTGCACACCTCCCCTTGCCGCCACTCTCCGCCTCTCCTCCTCTCGCCCTGCCCTCGCGCCCCACCGCGAGCGACCTGGTTGATCCCCTACTGGTGGATCCTTAGTCCCCACGCCGCGTGATCTGGCCCGGCCGCGCGCGTTCTCCCCCTCGACTGCCTACGCCGCGCCGCCGCGCGCGTGGCCGCGACGCCAAAAAGACTGTGTGCTCGTCCTTGCTCGCCCCGTCGCTGCTGGTCGCCACTGCGCCTCGTCCTTGTCGCCTGCACTGCGCACTGCTGGCCTCCGTCTCCCCGCTCTCTCCGTCTCCCCGTCACCCTCCTCCCCCGCTGCTCCCCTCGCGTCTGTTCCCCCACCGCGCAGGATGCCGTCGATCCCCCACGGGTGGATCCAGTGTCTCAACTCCGCGCGATCTGGGCCAGCCGCGCGCGTGCCTTCGCCCGACCTTTCAACGCCGCGCCGCTGCGCGCGCGTGCTTGTGTGTGTGTGTGTGTGCGTGTGCGTGTGCGTGTGCGTGTGTTTGTGTGTATGTGTGAGTGCTGGTTTAAGTGTGTCTCCTCTGCGAGGCGGGCGACCAAGTGCCTTGTCATGCTGGCGCTTGCCGGCCCACTTGATGGTTGCACACGCCTGCCCAGGCAGCGGTTGCGTCGGTTGTCCTGCACGGAGTACGCACGTTTTTCGTGCCTTCTGTTTACGTCGCTGTCGATCGGGTCGCCGTGCTGCTCGTCTCCGCCTTCGGACGACGCCCCAATTTTCTCACTGGCCACCCACGCCTGGGTGGCCCATGGGCGGTTAATTCAATGGGGTCCCGCGTCTGAGGGCCTGGTCGCGCGCGTTAATTCCGTGCCGTCTGCTCGACTTGCTCCGCCTCGTCGTTGAGCGCGAGGCCGCGACCGCCAAAGTGTGTGTGGCTGTGTGTGTTCCACCAAGGCTCTGTCGTGCGTTCCTCGCTTTGGTAAACTGGTGGTTCTTCCGCTCGCACATGGAGCATTCCGCGGCCCCGTCAGGCACTTGCTCAGATCAGTGGGCATGGGAGGCACCGCTTCCCTTTGGGCCTTGTCCATGGCCTACGACCTTATCATCTCCGCGGTGTCGTTGGCCAGCGGCGCGCCGTGCCTTGCTTACGTGGACGACCTGGCCGCCCTCCTGGCTGACGCGGCTCAGACCCTTCGCGTCTCCTTGCTCCTTTCCTGGGCGTCCTGAGCCGCCAGTCTCCACGTAATTACTCACGTTTGCATTGGTTTCACTTTTGAGGACCAGAGCCTAGCATCGACGCTGCCTGTGCTGACATTCTGTTGCACGTTGCGGTTGCCCCTGACGGGCGGGGGATTGTCATTGGGCTCGTCCCCGAGCTGGCGCGGCGCCTTCTCACCCACTGGCTTCTGCCGAGCCCTGCCACTGTGGCCTCAAGTCCGCCCTCGTGTCCGCTGCCCATATCGAGCGAGGGCGGCAGCTTATGGCCTTCTCGCCGTTGGGGGCCGGGGCCGTCAAGCCCAGCTGGCCCTACCCGGGCGCCACCTGCGCCTCCTGCGCCCTCAGCGTGCCCGCCCCTCTGCCCGCAGGGCGAATGACTACGGCCGCCCTCGCCACCGTCCGGTGCACGACTTGGACCAAAGCTCTCGCCCAACTGGACCCGCGGTCCATCACCATCCATTTTTCACACGCCAGCTCCGGGCGGCGCGCTGCCCTTGAGAATACACACACACACACTGCTTCTTGCTCGTGCCTTTAGAACACGTGCCCAGCCCACTACGCCTACCTCGACAAGGAGCAGGAGAAAGAGGTCCGCTCTGCCCTCCGCGTGGCCATGGGCCTCAACCGGGCACGATGGCTCCCATGGCATGTGCTCACCGGCATCGGGCCTGCATTTCAGGTTCCCGGCGCCCCCAGATGCCCAGTCACCCTGGCGCGCGCTGTCACTGCCGCCACTGTCGCTCGGGATGGTCACTTCAGAGGCCAGCAACATATGTACGCGTACGCGGTTAGCTTCCCCTGGAGGGCGTTTGAACGAGGACGTTCGTGCATTCAAGACCGCGGAGGGCGTACATGTACATATGTCGTTGCTCGCTCATCACTGGGGGTTCCTCCCCCTGTCTCGACCAGGCCCGCCGACGCTGGGGCCGGGCGCTGGACTGGGCCACCAATCTCGGGCGCGGCCAGGCTCCTCCCCGGTCCCGCTCCGCGACCATGCACACGCTGAAGGCCGCCCACTGCTGAGAATCGGGAGAGGAGAACTATGCACATGCACCGATCCTGGCAAGGCCCATCCTTGACCCAGGATCGGTGCATATGCCTTCCTGGTCAAGGTAGGAGGGCGTATGCACCGATCCTGGGCTCAGGAAGGGCCTGGCCAGAATCGGTGTATGTGCATAGTTCTTTTTCCTCTAGAGAAGGCCGACGTCCCCGTCGGAGGTCCCTCCCTTCTGCGCGCTCTGTACGCAGAGTTGTGGGCCGCGCAGCACGGGCGACGCACCGCCGAAGGGTTCTCCTCCCACTCTGCCAGGCTTCGCTGGGACCACTGCCGACGTTTGCGACTGGGCCACCCTGGTCGCTACAACCGCGCTGACCGGGCCATGCATGTGCTCCGCCTTCTGGCTGACGGCCTCCAGGGCCGCGCCAGATGGAGGTCTGCCGCCGACTGACCCCCCCCCTGCGGTGCCAGCAATGCCGCGGCGGAGGAATGTACGCCTGGCATTCCCCAGCGGCCAAGGACCACGGTGCCGTCTGGTACCGCGCCTGCTGCGAGGCCTGGGCCACCGAGCCCGCGCCGCCCCAGCAGCCCGATGATTTGGAGGACTCCTGGCACCTCGGCCCCCTCGCGTGCCACGCCTGTGCCCAGCGCAGGAACGAGGGGCGAGTACGGGGCTCCTCCATTCGCGCGATGGCCACCTCTGCTCCTCGCGTGGGTTTCTCCCTTCGCAGGTGCCTCGTGGCCGACGCCCCTCTCCCGGTCGGGACCACGCTCGCCGCGCTATGCGGGACACCCGCGGCCCGGCTCGTGGCCCCCACCCGCACCTTGTGGTTCCCGCCGCCGCGCGCGTCCGACAGCAGCGACGCCGCGGCCACTTGGGAGATCACGTGCTGCACCGAGTATCACGACCACCGCGTCGTCCTTGTCTCCCTCGACGAGCTCATCCCCAGGCAGGAGGTCTCGACCAGCCGCCCATTCACGGTGGACGCAGACACTGGCCTGTTGGCCCTGGGAGGTCACCTTCGACGGCGGAGCCCGGCATCAGGCCGCCACTTTGGCTTTTGGGCGGGAAACGTACCCACGGCCTCGCGGGCTGGGCCCCTCGCGGAACGCACGTGTCCGTGCGACCGCGCATCCGCGGGATCGCGCCCCAGAATTGAGTCGCCGCTCGTGAGTGGCTGCCTTGGCCAGCGTGCGCCGAGCCGGTCTCGCCGCAGCGGCGGTGCGCGGCGCGTGTGCGGAGGCGTGCTGCTCTCCCCTGCCTGCGGTCGTCGCACGCGCGGGTTCCGCTCCGCTGCCGCAGGTGCGGTCCTGCGGCGTGTGCCCGCACAGGCGCTCGTCGTCTGCATCGCGCCTCTCTCTTCCCTCCTCCCTCCTCGCTTCCTCCGCCTGCCTCTTCCCTCCTGGACCTGACCTCCTGCCTCCTCCCTCTGCCCATCCCTGCCTCGCTGCCTCCCTCCCTTCCCTCCCTCCCTCCCTCCCTCCTCCCTCCTGTGCCTCCACTTCCTGAGAAGTGTGTGTAAAGACCGTGCTCAGAGTAGAGGTCGGCCAGGACCCCCTCCCTCCTTCCTCCTGCCTGCTTGCCTGCCTGCCTGCTTGCCTGCCTGCCTGCCTGCCTCCCTCCCTCCCTCCCTTCCTTCCTTCCCCCCCTCCCCTCCCCTTCGTCCCCCCTGCTGTGGCGGTTCTGGCTCTGATCCAGGAGGCCTCGAAGAAGGCCCCCCCTCCGTGGGCGCTGCCTTGTCGCTCGGCTCCGGTGCGCCCGCCCTCCAGCGGCGGCCATGTTCGATGTCTTCGACGTCTGCTGCCGGGCGCCGCAGCAGGCATCGGAGGGCGCAGACTGCAGTCGGAGCCTGTGGCAGGGGCGCAGTACTTCCCTTCGGCAGGAAATCGTGGAAGCCTTGTGTGTCCTCGTAGTTCCGTCTTTGGAGTACGTTAGCGTGCGCTGGCGACTGGTGATCGATGAGACCGCGCCGACTTTGCGTCGACCAGCGTCGATGTAGCGTCGGTGTAGCAAGATTCTTGCGTCCCTACCTCGGCATCCTTAATGTGGATTGTGACTGCGCCCAGAACTCCAACGGGGCGAGAAAAGCAGAACTGGAGTTTGATGTCGATTTGCTTTCATGTGGACGTTCAAGGGGTCGCCGAGACAGGCACAACTAGTGTTGAGTCGCGATCTCGGCGTCTGGTGCCACACTCGTGCCCCGGGCCCGCAGAAAGCGATCCGTAACCACACGAGGGGGGACGCTGTCAGGGGCTCAGGGGGTGGGGGCCCACGCCGTGAGGGAGTCGTGGCGCTGCTCGGCACCGATCCTGTCCAGGCCAACTCTGGGCCCAGCATCGGTGCATCACGTCCTCCAGGCCCAGACAATACAGCAGAGGTGCACCGATGGCCTTCCCGAGGGTGTCCGGGAGGGCCTGTCGAAGCCTCTGGAGTCCCCTGTAAGTTGGCGAATGCCTGGACCCTGGACCCAGGACTGTCCTGGAGGTTGGAAGTAGCCCGGGGGTCTGAGCTGGGTTAGCCCAGAGGGAATGGGCGAGAGG